AGGTGGTGGTCGAAGGAGAAGTTAAATGGAAGGTAGGTTCGTGGGTGTCTGGAACGTACCACCTCCACGTCAACTGTCCCGCTTACATCAGGCTCGCCGGTGGCCACATCAGTGGCCCGGAAAGATGCGGTGTTGATGTTTAATGCACTTGAAGCCAGAGCAAAGTTATAATCGAACTAGCTGTTGAACGAAAACACTCTTCATCATCCCATTTGTAGTCTACAAGTGAGGTTTTAGGTAGTAAATCATATATCTCATCTTAGGTGGTCGATGTTTAGTTGTGTAACTGATAAGCCAAAGCAATTTGCAAATTGCAATTATCATTGTTCTTGTTGTTTAGTCTTCGCTGCCTACACCATGCAGGCACCTCATGTTAGGATGTTTGAAATGGAATTGACGTGATGTTCCTACTTTAGAAAAACAATTGGAGTTGAGTTGACAATTAATATAGTAAAGTAAAACGACTTAAAAATTTAAGCCTGATTTTTGAATTAAAATTTCCTCCGCTACTCGTGGACCATTTGCTTTTACTCGTGTGATATCAAATATAGCCTCACATTCCATAGATTCATAATATCTGTCGGACTCGGACAGGAATATCTTCGTTTGATTTTCTCTCCACTTCCTCTCTATTTGCTCCTCCGATCTTTAATATAAGACCCATTTAACTAATTTGAGTAGATTAGAAAGTTAGGTAAGTTAGTTAATTATAAAAAATGTGACACGTTTGTCCTAAAATACCGTATAATAATATTTCTTAATACCCACTCTTCTTCTCCTATTTGATTATGGTTGAGAGAGTATCTATAGGGGTAATTTAGAGAAAATTGATAAATATGATAATGGGTCTTATATTTAGGACCAAAACCAACTCAACAATGGGTCTTATATTAAGGACGGAGGAGTAGTATTATTTTTATCATTAGATTAACACCCAATGGCTGAGATTAATATATTATAACAGTATTATTATAATATTAATTAAATGACAAATATATATATAAACAATTAGAAATTAATATGCATACATTACTTCTATAGATTTTTATTAATATTGTAATTCATTTGTTTTTTTCCTGTGCGGTCTGATTATAATAATATCATAATATTGACTTATATATAGGTTACAATTATTTATATTATTATTATAATATTAAATATCAACTATTGGATATTAATCTAATGATATAAATAGTAAACAGGGAGAAGTGGAAAGAAAGCTAAATAAAGATAACTCTTTTTTGGCATTGGGCCTGTGCCTGTGCAGTGCACTTTATGAAAATAAACTGCATTAATTATATTTTATCATAAAAAAAGACTGACCGTAATTATATTCTATTCTTTGCTGGTCAACTGAAGTTACCAATTTGAATAATACTACCGTCCCGTTCGGTAGGAGATGTAGACACTTGTGGACCACAGACAAGGGGAGGTCCTCAAAAACCAACGTTAAAAGACTTTCTAAGTCAACTAGAACGTGTCCCACTGGTACATGGAGCCAAAATTTGTCTATAGAACCTTTTAAAATGAGTACTTGTAATTATGAAATACGATTATCTAGATAAAACCAAAAAGATTTAACGAAGAATAACTATTTATATTAATTTTATATCATATTTGTATGTTTTGCACAGCCCTTATTGATTAATTTTTTGAAGTTAACGTGTTTAGTTAATCTGTGGTTAACGAATAGCGAAAGGTGCAGTTTTTATCTTTCATCTCATTGTAAGGAATACAGAATTTTCTATCCACATTTTAGATGTGTTTGGATGGAATCCAAATTATAATTTTAAAAGTACTTTTATAATATGTAAAGTAAATATATAGAGCTCGTTTATATAAAAGTATTTTTGAAAAATATTTTTTTATATTACAAAACCCTCCTCGTCATCATCTCTTATCAAATGAATAATAATGACGACGTCTTGTAATGGCTTAGAATGAAAGGTTTGCTGGATAATACTTGTTTTACTTTGTTCTGGGGGCCCTTGGCAATTGGACGTCTCCAGATGGCAATTCTCCAATCGATTATGCTTTTTCCCTGGAACGCGAAATAATTCTCTCTGCTCCTTTATCTGATCCCGTGCCATGGAAATCATCATCGGATAATCGAAGTCTTCCTGAACTTAATAAGATGGACAAGAGAGACGGAAAGAGAGTGGTGGTTGTTGGAGGTGGTATCGCCGGATCCGTCGTAGCTAAATCTCTACAGTTCAATGCTCATCTAACTCTCATTGATCCGTATGCTCTTCTTTTACTTCTTTGCCACCTCCGTATTTCTTCTTTTCTGCTTCTAATACTTCAAGCCATGATCTTTTTACCCACAATTTCCGAAGTGTGGAACTTTGATGTGTTATTTTAGTATATTCTGGTTAACTCCATCCTCATAAATTTTATGATGAGGGACTTGACTTAATTTTATGCGCATTCAAAGTTTCTTTGAGGGCTTGTTTGGCTTTGAAACCCATGTTCTACCCTGACTTTGTTTCGTTAATAGTTTTTGGAAATCTTGTATCTTGGGTAGGAATTTGTGTCATTTCATATCCTACTTATGATCAGGTGATGCATAAACATTTTCATGGAACTTTCTCTCAAAATGGTTGTCATTTCATTAAGCTGGTTGGTACATTTTAATTCAGGAAGGAATATTTTGAGATACCATGGGCAAGCTGAGGGCAATGGTTGAACCATCCTCTGCAGAGAGGTCTCTGATCAACCATAGAGATTACTCTCCAACGGCGACATTGTTACATCCGGCGCGGCCGGTATTACAGAAACTGAAGTATTGACCGCTGATAGCCGTCAGATTCCCTATGACTACCTGTTATTGCCACAGGCCATAAAGATCCTGCCGCGAAAAGTAGGAAAGACAGGCTTGATCAGTACGTATCAGGTAAAATTTAAATAAAACTTAACTAGAGGGGGGACAAAGAAATCTGTAAATTGAAACGTTTGCAAATGCGTAGGCAATAATCTGTTCCAACATAAACACTCGGCAGCATTATATAGTTTTTTATGAGAAAAGTTTGTTGACATTGAATCATGGTGCTGTTGTACAGCCATGGAAGATATTTTAGAACACAGATCTATTTATTATTTTTATCATTAGATTAACACCCAATGGCTGAGATTATTATATTATAAAAGTATTATTATAATTATTAATTAAATGAAAATATATATAAACAATTAGAGATTTATCATTAGTCGCCTTGGTTAAATAAAAAATAAAACCAAATATGCAGTAAAGCACAACTCGGGTCGTGTCTCTTGAGGAGACTTTTATTAATTCATAAGTTAACTAAGTGACAAAGAATAAAAAGGGGGTTGAAAAAGGATTTTTCAATTAATAAAACTAATTATGAAACTAAGAAATAAATCTAAACTGTTTTTGTATTTTTAATAAAGAAAGAATGAAAAAATGCAAATTTGAATTTTAGAAAATCAGTAATGAGAATGCTTCTTGAAAACGGAATGTAGCTATCATTACTTAAATAAAGATATGGGAGTAAAATAATGCACCAAGTTAAGAAAAACAACCCCAAACACGGTTTGGGTCAAGTAAACTTAACATTTAACTACCCTAAACGCTAGATAGTAATCAAGTTATTAAGCTACTTTTAAAAACCACTTGATGTGCAATTTAAATTGAGTTAATAAAACTTGTTTCCCTCTCAAAGAATGCTCACGGAAACACTCAATTGCAATACATCTCAATCATAAAATCTAACAACATGCCAGATAACATAATTTTAATGAATGCAAAGGAAATATTTATAAATTCAAATCCCAAGTAATGCAACTCAAATTAAACGCAAAAAATCCAATTAACAGAAATTATAACTCATAATCTTAGTCTCCAAATCAAATGAAAATATTCCTAACGCAGGAAAAATCTAATGAAGTTTAGGAGAAAATTAATTGAAAAACTGAATACTCCTCTAGTTGAAACTCTAAGCTCAAGCTACTCCTCCATCTTCAAGAAGCACAAGAAAATTAGCCTCTCATAGTTCTAGAAGAATCTGCAATATATTTAAAACAATGAGAATCCACGGAGGTTATGGTGAGAAAGAGGGTGTGAAGATTATTTGTAGAAGAATACAAACAATAGGGGCCGACGCCGACGGTGATGATGGTGATTGGCTGCAGGAAGAAAAGACGAAAACTGGGGGTGAGAAAGATAGTAGTGTATGCGGCGTGGGGGTATGGATATGAAGAGGTTATGAAAGTGGCGTATGAGTGTGGTGTGAGTGCGAGGTTCCTTGATTGTGTGTTGCGGCGGTATATATAGAAAGGGATTGAGGGAGGTGGCAGCGTGAAATTGCGTGAAGGAGGGGATCTATATCCAATATCAAATCTGAAGGATCAGAGATGATTGGCGGCCTTCTGGAATTCCTTGTTGCCCCCTTTTTTTTTTTCATGAATAAAGATACAAAATAATCTGATGCCTTGATGTCCAAGTTGTTGTGTCTCCAATTTTCTTTTTTTTCTTCTTCTTCTTTTCAGTTTTTTATGATCTTTATTTCCTTATTTTAAGGCCTGCAAAAGATAAATTGGGATACTATCATAAAAATCCAAAATCAATTATTTAAAAAGAGATAAAAATATGATAAGATCTCCTATTATTAATCTCTAATTTCATTGCAATCAATATTTGATTCAAAATACCCGCAACTAATACAATTTATCCCACTTTAATTGATAAATATCTACAAAAAGGATATCAAATAATATGTTAAAATTAGGATTTATCACCTCTCCTTTCTTTTGCAAAGCAAGTTGTTATTTGTCTTTATCATTGATATTATACTGTTGAATATTGATTAGTCCAAGTCTTCGTAGACCCCGTGGAAGGTGTTTTACACATGATGATGACTTTTAAAAAGCCAATCAGGCTCGGAACAGGCCGCACCCCAAACAGTTTAGATAGAGCTATAAATCCCACACACTCGTCGGCCTGAAGTGAACGATCATCATCCTCCACTCAATCACAAAACATCATGTGGAAGCACCGCTGCTACCACGACTATGAACGCCGCCGGCTCATCCGCCGCATACTCCTCGGCATCCTGGCATTTGTCGGCCTCGTTCTCCTCACCATCATCGTGATATTGATCATTTTGAGACCCACCAAACCCCGTTTCACCCTCCAGGACGCCGTCCTTTATGCCTTCAACCTCCCACCCTCCCCCACCGAGCTACCTCCTCCCACCCTCAACCTCACCATGCAGGCCACTTTGTCTGCTCACAACCCCAATGACGGAATCGGCATTTTCTATCGCTCCCTCGATGTCTACGTCTCCTACCGTGGCCAACAGGTCTCGAGGGCCGTGGTCATCCCCCCCTCATACCAAGACCATCACGATATTACCGTCTGGTCGCCCTACTTGTACGGAATCGCCGTGCCGCTTCCGCCATACGCGGTGGACGCTGTGCGGGAGGAGCTGAATACTGGGGCGGTGATGCTCAAGGTGGTGGTCGAAGGAGAAGTTAAATGGAAGGTAGGTTCGTGGGTGTCCGGGACGTACCACCTCCACGTCAACTGTCCCGCTTATATGAGGCTCGCCGGTGGCCGCATCGGTGGCCCGGAAAGATGCGGTGTTGATGTTTAATGCACTCGAAGCCAGAGCAAAGTTATAATCGAACTAGCTGTTGAACGAAAACACTCTTCATCATCCCATTTGTAGTCTACAAGTGAGGTTTTAGGTGGAATAATCATATATCTCATCTTAGGTGGTCGATGTTTAGTTGTGTAACTGATAAGCCAAAGCAATTTGCAATTATCATTGTTCTTGTTTAGTCTTCGCATCCTACATCATGCAGGCACCTCATGTTAGGATGTTTGAAATGGAATTGACGTGATGTTCCTACTTTAGAAAAACAAATTGGACTTGATACTTAATATAGTAAAGTAAAACGACTTAAAAATTTAAGCCTGATTTTTGAATTAAAATTTCCTCCGCTACTCGAGGACCATTTGCTTTTACTCGTGTGATATCAAATATAGCCTCACATTCCATAGATTCAAAACATCCGTCGGACTCGGACAGGAATATCTTCGTTTGATTTTCTCTCCACTTCCTCTCTATTTATTATTTTTATCATCAGATTAAAACCCAATGGTTGAGATTTAATATATTATAACAGTATTATTATAATATTAATCAAATGACAAATATATATATATAAACAGTTAGAAATTAATATGCATACATTACTTCTATAGATTTTTATTAAAATATTTTATAATTCTTTTGTTTTTTATCCTGTGCAGTCTGATTATAATAATATCATAATATTGACTTATATATAGGTTACAATTATTTATATATTATTATAATATATTAAATATCAACTATTGGATATTAATCTACTGATAAAAATAGTAAATAGAGAGAAGTGGAAAGAAAGCTAAATAAAGATATTTTTGTTTGGCATTGGGCCTGTGCCGGTGAAGTGCACTTTATGAAAATAAACTGCATTGATTATATTTTATCATGAAAGAAGACTCACCGTAATTTTATATTCTATTTCTTTGCTGGTCAACTGAAGTTACCAATTTGAATAATACTACAATCCCGTTCGGTATGAGATGGAGACAGTTGTGGACCACAGACAAGGGGAGGTCCTCAAAAACCAACGTTAAAAGACTTTCTAAGTCAACTAGAACGTGTCCACTGGTACATGGAGCCAAAATTTGTATGTAGAACCTTTTAAAATGAGTACTTGTAATTATGAAATACGATTATCTAGATAAAACCAAAACAGATTTAACGAAGAATAACTATTTATATTAATTTTATATTCATATTTGTATGTTTGCACAGCCCTTATTGATTAATTTTTTGAAGTTAACGTGTTTAGTTAACCTGTGGTTAACGAATAGCGAAAGGTGCAGCTTTTATCTTTCATGTCATTGTAACGAACACAGAATTTTCTATCCACATTTTAGATGTGTTTGGATGGAATCCAAATTACAATTTTAAAAGTATTTTTATAATATGTAAAGTAAATATATAGAGCTCATTTTATAAAAAAGTATTTTTGAAATTTTTTTTTTATATTACAAAACACCTCCTCGTCATCATCTCTTATCAAATGAATAATAATGACGACGTCTTATAATGGCTTAGAATGAAAGATTTGCTGGATAATACTTGTTTACCTCATCGTTTCCCTTAGCCCATTCCGTTAGGCTTCACCCGATACTCGATAATGGGGCAACCTGGGCCCATTGCCTAAGAACCACAACAAATGGGCAGTCTCCAGGCCCATATTTCCCCTCTGCGTGGTCTTTGTTCTTTTTGATTTTCTGTCTGGTGCCCTTGGCAATTGGACGTCTCCAGATGGCAATTCTCTAATCGATTATGCTTTTTCCCTGGAACGCGAAATAACTTCTCTCTGCCCCCTTTATCTGATTCCCTGCCATGGAAATGATCATTGGATAATCGAAGTCTTCCTGAACTTAATAAGATGGACAAGAGAGACGGAAAGAGAGTGGTGGTTGTTGGAGGTGGTATAGCCGGATCCGTCGTAGCTAAATCTCTACAGTTCAATGCTCATCTAACTCTCATTGATCCGTATGCTCTTCTTTTACTTCTTTGGCACCCCTGTATTTCTTCTTTTCTGCTTCTAATACTTCAAGCCATGATCTTTTTACCCACAATTTCCGAAGTGTGGAACTTTGATGTGTTATTTTAGTATATTCTGGTTAACTCCATCCTCATAAATTTTATGATGAGGGACTTGACTTAATTTTATGCGCATTCAAAGTTTCTTTGAGGGCTTGTTTGGCTTTGAAACCCATGTTCTACCCTGACTTTGTTTCGTTAAATAGTTTTTGGAAATCTTGTATCTTGGGTAGGAATTTGTGTCATTTCATATCCTACTTATGATCAGGTGATGCATAAACATTTTCATGGAACTTTCTCTCAAAATGGTTGTCATTTTCATTAAGCTGGTTGGTACATTTTAATTCAGGAAGGAATATTTTGAGATACCATGGGCAAGCTTGAGGGCAATGGTTGAACCATCCTCTGCAGAGAGGTCTCTGATCAACCATAGAGATTACTTCTCCAACGGCGACATTGTTACATCCAGCGCTGCCGGTATTACAGAAACTGAAGTATTGACCGCTGATAGCCGTCAGATTCCCTATGACTACCTTGTTATTGCCACAGGCCATAAAGATCCTGCCGCGAAAAGTAGGAAAGACAGGCTTGATCAGTACGTATCAGGTAACATTTAAATCTAACTTAACTAGAGGGGGGACAAAGAAATCTGTAAATTGAAACGTGTGCAAATGCGTAGGCAATAATCTGTTCCAACATAAACACTCGGCAGCATTATATAGTTTCTTATGAGAAAAGTTTATTGCCATTGAATCATGGTGCTGTTGTACAGCCATGGAAGATATTTTAGAACACAAATCAATCACTATCTGGGATTATTTTTTGTCACCGTTTATGATGCGTTGATAGTGGCTGGCTTGGATCATTGCATTATGCTGTGTGAATGTTTTATATAATAGATTCAGCCATGTAATGCATTGACCTGATCAGAGCACAAGTCATCAAAGTTTCTTTCTGCTGGCAGAAAATCAGAAGATAAAATCTGCAAATTCCATTCTGATTATTGGAGGTGGTCCGACTGGTGTTGAACTGGCTGGAGAGATTGCTGTTGATTTTCCAGATAAAAAGGTTACTTTAGTGCACAAAGGATCCAGGCTGATGGAATTCATTGGGCCAAAAGCTGCCGATAAGACTCTAAAATGGTTTGGATCAAAGGGTGTTGAAGTGAAGCTAGAGCAAATAGTCGACTTGAATTCCGTTGAAGATGGAAACAAGACATATGAAACTTCACTTGGAGAGATCATTGAGGCAGACTGTCATTTTGTTTGCACAGCAAAGCCACTTGGTACAGCATGGCTTAAGGAAACTGTGTTGAAGAATGACTTGGATGCTCATGGAAGGATCAGGGTAGATGAAAATTTGAGAGTCAGGGGTCGGAAAAATATCTTTGCAATTGGAGATGTTACAGATATTCCAGTAAGTACTTATTGCTGCGAAGTTGTAATCTTTTAACAAAATATTAAAGTTACTCATGGTGCTTTTGATGAAAGTTAAAAATCTTCTATGTGAAATTCATATGACGTCCAAAATGTGTATTATAGGAAACTACTTTCATTTAAAAATTTAACTAGGAGAGGGTTGTTAATGCATCCAGCTGAATTCTCATACGCTGAACCTTTTCGGTAGTCGGTTCGTGTTAAAAAGTCACCGCTAAATTCTCAGTGTTAAGAGTTATTCGTTTTTATCACTGAATTTAATTTTCAATTTGGCTCTCTGCTCTCTGCGTGTCCTTGCTCTTTCTTTCGAGTTTTGTCATGCATAAATTACATCTTGTTTGATGGTATTGAACTAGCTTTGCAGACTGTCCTCTATCGCCTAAATTTGGAGCAGAATTATAGCCTAACCTCTTAGTGATGAGAATATATGTTCATGAACGCGGAGCCTCCAATTCTATTTTATGGTATTTGCACGCCATTGCATCACGATCCCATCTTTTGCTGGAGCTATTGACCGGAGGCTTCACTGCCTGTCTGTATCTTTATTTCATGGTTTGGTTTCAGGTTTTTGCAGTGACTTAGTTGACGAAGAAATAAGTGTCTAAAATCCACGAGTCTAAATACTCAGATGTTTCGCGGATATGCGTGCATGATCTCCTACTCATTTCTGTCATTCTATTACCTGGACCGTCTACTGCATGTTTGAATATGTGGCATTTAAGTTTTCTTGCAAGTTAACCTGAATAGAAATTCTTTGATGGGAATCTGCAAAACAGGAAATCAAACAGGGTTTCTGGCACAAAAGCAGGCTGATACTGTTGTAAATAACTTGATGCTGTTGATGGAGGGAGGTAATGAAAATAAGATGAAAACTTACAAGCCACATTCTGCACTGGCAATCGTATCACTTGGGAGGAAAGACGCGGTGGCACAGCTTCCATTCTTGACAATCAGTGGAAGAGTTCCTGGCTTTATAAAGTCTGGAGATTTGTTTGTTGGCAAAACAAGGAAGCGTTTGGGACTCCAACCTGATGTCACACAAACTTGAGTAAATATAATGGGCAACGCTGTCTATAAAAATGATCTCACTCTTCCATCGCATGCTTATTGTGCATTATCTGTCCTTCTTTTCCTTTTTTATTATGTTCTTGATTAAAGGAAAGGAATGTCTCTGTTTCTATGATAGATTCAGTTCGATGCTGATAAGTGGACTGCTGGCTTGGCTTGAAATTAGTTGTGAGTGAGAAGTGGCCATGCAGGCTTTGTTATTGAGTTATTGGAGCATTCACTTTTTCCATTGTTAAAATTTGATTGATTTTTAGATACATACTACTTCGACCCCTGTTATTATTAAGCCTCATTTGTGTATTGACATGCGTATTTGGCTTAATTTTCATATATTTTAAAAATAATTCGATATTATATCTCGGCTTTCAAGTTAGGAAATGAATTAATTAAAAAATAAATATGTGAATTAAAGTTCTGCAGTGAGATAATTGAGATTTGAGTCAAATACATATATGTTTTTAATTTTTAATGTCGAAAAAATGTTTACAGAAAACTCATAATGGAAGCAAGGAATAATGTTTGCATTTTCTCCTTTATTTGATGGCAAACATGGTATCCTCTAAATAACAGAACTGCAATATATGATAAGCGTGAATAAATATTGCTTAATCGATATCTCTTTCCCTCGGGGATTAAAAGGTTGTTGGTAACTTAAACGAGTTTGGGCCAACATGATAAACGAGTTTGCTTTTCACACACACACACACACGGCTATTTAATTAAGAAGGGTTGCTTGAGTTCAAAACTGTGTTACGCAATTAAATTAAAAAATGGAGGTTCAAAACTCTAGAGTGACCTTTCGAGAATTAAAAAACTTTAAGTGATAGGTTATTTCTACGTGAGTGTTTTTATCGATCATACTATCGAATATCTTAATACGGTAGCATTAGACTGTATATAGAGGGATCAAGTATTTGACCTCTATATTTTCACCCAGACCCCAACGAATCTAATGCACGCCTTTAAATAAAGTGAAGCCGTTTAACCTTGAAACCTAAGAACTAACCTTGAGGGATGTTAAGATTCTGGCTTGTTGGTTCTTGAAGAATCTGGAAGCCCTCATGATTCGTCACCCACATGTTAGCCAGACGGCCGAGACGGCGAGTCGTTACCCCTCCCTCTGGAGTCTGAAATCTAGAATAATTTTCCTGCTCATTTTATTTTATTTATTATATATTCAAAACACAAGTTGAAGATATGATGAGTGTTCCTCTAGAAACGAAAGTAAAAGTCAAATTTTTGCCATTAGTCAAAGCACTGATGAGAGGGATGGATAATCTTAACATATGTTTAGACGAACTCCTTCACGCAAAGGAACTAATTAATACAAATAAGACTTCAAGCCTGGAACAGAATTTCTACTTGGTTTCAAAGAGAAAATGAGCAGCATGACAACATAACAGGATCCTTGAAAACTAAAAGATAGAGGAATCCCATTTATCAACATATAATCAAACAGAAAACTTCATTTGGGTGGCTCTTTTTTTTATACATATTTTTTAAACTTGAAGTGGCCGTCTTATTTGAATATGCTCTGGCCAAGGATTGTTGACCTGCAATCTCAAGTAAGAGCTGATGCAATGCTGGCTGACAGCTGGAGATTTTTCAGTTGTAAGGGAAACATCCTCAGAACTATCTCAGGATTTTTATTTATTTGTTTGTTTTAAATATTTCCACTTTAATAATAAATAATATTAAGGGATTGAAGTAGCAAGCTAACGTACGTAGGCTGTTACGCGGGAAGGACGCAGTAATGCAAAAACGTTGCCCTCTTGACTCTGCATATTCAAATATGTTGTTTGTGTTGGTATTCATTATTTTGAAATACAGTGGCTTTCTTGGACACGCAATGATGCAAGCGCCTCGTACTCTATTTATGTTGCCTTATTTCCCGTCTGTGAACGAATCCATCAGCACAGCAAAATTCAACCACATAAAACAAAGCATCCACGACAAATGGAGAAGAAAGTTGTCATCATCGGAGGTGGTGTCGCCGGTGCCGTCCTTGCTAAAACTCTTCAAAATCATGCCAATGTCACTCTTATCGATCCGTAGGCTCTCTTATTTATATCCATACCACAATCATAGTCTCTGTTATTTACTAGTTCAATTCTCTTCCCTATACTGCTGAGTTTTTCTTCACAAAACTTCGATTCGATTTAGCTTTCCTGGACTTTCACTATAATATCATAGTCTTCATGTTGTTACCTAACTTGTTTATTCCCAACTTATTATCATTCAGACTTGATGTTCCAAGTAGTTTGCTCTTAGAATTACTTGATGTTCTTTTGGTGATGAATGACCTCCTGCATATACATGGAGATTTCTGATTGAGTGATATTGATATCAGGAAGGAATATTTTGAGATTCCATGGGCAGCTTTGAGGGCCATGGTTGAGCCATCTTTTGGGGAGAGGATAGTGGTCAACCATAGAGATTACTTCAAAAAAGGCAACCTCGTTACATCCAGTGCCGTCAATATAACTGAAACTGAAGTCTTAACTGACGATGGTTCTCAGATTCCCTACGACTTTCTTGTTATTGCCACTGGACATAAAGAACCTCTTCCAAAAACTAGGACTGAAAGACTCGACTACTACAGAGCAGGTAAATTTTCAGCCTTCATTCTTAGAAAGTCTATGCCTTTGAATAACTATTTACTTGTGAGGGATGTTTCCAATGGCAGAACATGAAAAGATAAAATCTGCAAGTTCAATTCTGATAGTTGGAGGGGGACCTACGGGTGTGGAACTTGCCGGAGAGATTGCTGTTGATTTTCCCGAGAAGAAGGTGACTCTAGTGCACAAAGGAACAAGGTTGCTGGAATTCATTGGGCCTAAGGCTTCCAAGAAGGCCTTAAAGTGGTTGAAAGCAAAGAAAGTTGAAGTGAAACTAGAGCAATCAGTCAATTTGGACTCGGTTTCAAACAATGCATACCAAACTTCAGGAGGAGAAACCATCGAGGCAGATGTTCATTTTCTTTGCACAGGCAAACAGCTTGGCTCAGCGTGGCTCAGAGAAACTATATTAAAGGATCACTTGGATTCCGAGGGAAGGATCCAGATTGATCAGAATTTACGAGTCAAGGGCCGGAACAACATTTTTGCAATAGGAGATATTACTGATGTTCCGGTAAATTAAGTGCTAATTTTTGTTGCTTTATTTAAGGGCTAAAGCTCAATCCTTTGGACTTTACGTTTCCTTTTCTGACTCTTTGGACTAAGAAAAATCTATGCGGTGCAGGAACTTAAACAAGGGGCGAATGCAGGAGAGCATGCTCAAGTGGTTGCAAAGAATTTGAGAGTATTGATAGGGGAAGGAAAAGACAAGAAACTAGGAGAATATAAGGCACGGCCTGCTGTAGCAATTGTTTCACTTGGAAGGAAACAGGGGCTTGCACAGTTCCCTTTCATGACGGTGCTTGGAAGGTTCCCAGGCATCATCAAGTCTGGTGATTTGTTTGTGAGCAAAACAAGAAAGGATTTGGGATTGGAACCTAAATAGGTTGATATTTGTGAGTGGTGTGTTATGTACAGATTTGTTTAAGCTCTTTGTCATCTGTCATGTCCCCAGCTTGATAATTTTGTTCAGTGTCATTTCTCTTCTTCAAAAAAAGAAACGTTGTCTGTAATGCTTCTGTTAAGAGTTTGAATACTACGAGTGTTGTTGATTAAGATGAGAGTGTTTACATCAGTCAGAAGATGCATCTACCTGTTGATATTAAATCAATGGAGCTTTATTTGTTTGGTGTTCATGTAGTTGATTCTAAAGTGATTTCAGCTTCATCAGATATTTGACACTATACTCTTTTCAGTATGGCTTAAAAAGGCACCGCTAGGAGAGTGGAGAATCCTTTACCTCCACTGTTTACAAGATACACTCCTTATTCATCCTTGTAGAAGCCCTCTTAAAACATTCACAATCCCATCCTTTACCGTCAGTATCATAACTTGCCTTATTGGTAATGCGGGGATCAAAATATCAAATACTTCATCGTCGAGTGAAATCGTATTGTTGCCATAATGCAAATCTTCTTATTCATCCTCAAACAGACGCTAAGCACCACGGCTCTAAACAATCAATGGACGTAGTTGCATTCCCACTAATAGCAAATACCCAAATACAAACTAGTCAGATTGATGATGCTACATTAAATTCTTTCGCACAAAACCTCTCCGCCACTCTCTCAGCCACCTCGACCTTGCCATGAAGTGTACATGCCCCCAACAATGCGTTTAAAACGGCTTCATCAGGCTCAATTTCCATTCTCAAAATCAAGTTCCCTGCTTCCTCCACCTGACCATTCCTTCCTAACATGTCTACCATGCATGTGTAATGTTGCAACCCTGGCTTCACACCAAACCTCCTATCCATCATCTCAAAATATTCCTTTCCCTTATCTATGAAACCCCCATGACTACATGCCGTCAAAACTGCAGTAAAAGTCATACCATCTGGCCTCTCTCCTTCTTCGACCATTCTGTCAAACAACTCAAATACTTCATCAAATTTGCCATGCATTCCATAACCCGACATGATCGCAGACCATGTCACTACATTCCTTTGGTGCATTCTATCAAACACCTTACGTGCTTCAACTAAATCACCACACTTAGCATACATGGTTATTAATGCGGTTGAATTGCCCAAATCTGAGGCAAGCCCATTGACAACAACAGCTCCGTGGACTTGCCGACCAAGCGGTAGGGCCGACAAACCTGCACATGATTTAAGGACCGCAGGTAAGGTACGGCAATCAAAGGGCTTCAGGTCAGGCAGCATTTGGCGGAAGATCGAAAGGGACTCGGAGAATAAATTGAGAGATGAATAGGCTCTGATAAGGGAGTTAAAGAGGAAAGTGGGCCGGCGATTGGTGAAGGAGAAGAGGAGACTGGCTTCCTGCAATTGGGCACAAGAAGCATAGGAAGACACAAGTTTGATGCGAATAAAATCATGGCTAGATATGCCTAAAACAATAGTGCGCGCGTGAATTAGTTTAAGATTCTGCAACTGCTTTGTGGAGGGGCGAGCGTCGAGAAGAGAAGCATAAAACGATATTGACATGTTTTACCTTAGAGACAGAGAAGGGCATATCCAAATACCATGGCGAAAAACAATTGGGGAAGGGCCGAACTCCAAGTCTGCAACAAGAGGAGAGCTTGAGAAGGGCGTGACTGCAAAGAGAAGGGAGTGAACTAGCAGCTCGAGCTTCACTGGGAACGGAGGTCAGAGATGTTAGATGCGGGAGCGTTAGCATTAAGCCGCGACGAAGCGTTGGAGGAGGACAGGACAGAGGGAGCTCGCCCTTGAGGTGTGGGAGGTTGGGCCGAGGAAGACGAGTGTTTTGAGATAATGGGCTTTCGTGATAGTGTGGACTTCAACTATGAGATGGGCCTGAAGATGTTATAATTGGGCTCAATGGAGGCAGTGACGAATTATGTGAAGCTTTCCCCCATCTTTTGTTTCTTCCTTTTGTAGTTCCCTTCTCTCCCTCCCTGAGTTTCTAATTCTTTATCCCTCTGAGTTTATTTACATTTTCTTCTATATTTAGAGTGATCCATGTTTTGTAGCAAGTTTATACATGATTGTAAGCTTCAGCTTCCATTGAACATTATGTATTGTAAACATAACATGTTTTTCAAGTAAGTGATGTGAAGAATGAAATCAGATTAGGTTAGGACATGATGGAATGAGTTTTAAAAAATAAATAAAACATTAGAAATACAATGACGTCCAAAGTAATATTTGTTATGAAGAAAATTTAATTATTTAATAGATTCACAAATTATTAACAAATTAATGCAATGCAATGACTGTGAATAAGTATACAATTATAATCATAAATAGACTAGTCAGATATTCACAAATATAAAAATTAAATTAAATGAAGGCCTATCACAATTGGTATTTAAATGGCTTCCTTAAGCATGTAGTCAAGAGTTTGATCCTAGACGATAGGTATGGAAAGGGTTTCATAGTCAGCACTAAAGTTCTTTCAAAAAGTTTACAGTGCAAAGAGATTAGTCACTACTACCAGCGATCAATAATGGGTAGTCTATGCTCAATAAAAAAAAATCATGCATATTTGTGAGCACTAATTACTAATTAATTGACTATATGCTTAAATACGCAACTCCACTGCTTTTTTTTTTGGGGGGGCTGTCCCACGTCACTTCACCCTCATGGTTCTCCACTACTGTATTTGAAGTGGGGAAAATACCTTCTGGTGCTAATATCATGCTACTCTCCACATTTCGTCTGTAAATTTATAATCCACAGAGAAACGGGGGAGACAGAGTTGTCGCGAACCTAATCTTGGAGGTCTTTTATGTACATATTTTTAACTGCTTATAATAATATCTCAAGTCAGATGCATTAACTTGATCAAAGCTTTTCTCTTTTTGCTTCTCTGTTTCTTGTTGCTTGCTTCCCAATAATCATATTCTATCATAATGCATCGCGTTGCTAAGTATGAGAAAGTGGAAACCTTCTTTATATGATAAGTGTAGTTGATTATTTATGGACAAAGTGATACATGCTCCAACAAATCACTGAAGCGATCAATATTTTCTTCTCTCTCTGTTGCCAAAAAAAAGTCATCTTCCTTTTTTATCTTATTGGGGCACATGCAGAATATCACAATGGAAAAACAACTCAAATCCCACTTAGCGTCTCACGAATGTTCAGCTTGTGTGGTTAGAAGGAAATATGAACCAAACATAATTATTTAAGTTGCATTTACGAATTGTCTACCACTGCAATCTCACTTTAATGCAGCTTCCACAACTCAAAAACTGGAGCGACCATCTCTTTTATATATGATGCCCTGGAGGGTTACATGAATTTATTATTAAAGAATGAAAAAAATGAAAGCTCATAATGATTTCATCAATTGGTATATTTGTAACGAGTTTCTCATCTACACTACGTCATTCACCATGTGTCACAACAAAGCTAAAAGGAAATCTGATTTCCAACCAATGGGTTGTTGAAAGAAGCATCAACCGAGTAAGATGCCTCTACTTTTCTTTTCGGCCATTAAAATAAAGAAGAAAACAAGTACATGGCAGATTGCACCCTAAAATTACAGAGCATGTGCCGTACTCATTGCCATACTTAGGTGTCGTACAGGCCAGAATTAAACTAATCCTCATTTGGTTTACTTTAATGGAAATCACGATAAGTGCTTTGTGAGATCAAGATTTGGAATGCTTGACCATCATGTTTGTCCCAAGTTAGGTCTAAGTTTGAACAGCCAATTCTTATATTCATGGGTCGTCACCTTTGTGATCGGACCACTAACTATAATCTAAAACAACCACCACGTGATTCCTAATTAAGATGCAAGTATCACATCAATTAGCAGGCAGCACCAGTTCTGATGAATGTCCTTACTCTATTCTGTTGATCTTTGCTGCGGAGTCTCCAAGCTAACTATTCATATTCATGTTTCAACGTTTTGTATTGTTGTTACTCGCCAAGTTGAATTTGGATGTTGCATATGTTCTGTTCCAGGCTAATTTTGGTCTAGTTTACGACCTAAATCTGGACATTTCATATATTTTTCTATCCAACTAGCCCATATTGGCAGTTCTGAGTGAAAAATAAAGGTACAAACCAACAAGAACCAAAGGAAATTCAGAACATGAGATTGACGTTATTCAAGATCAAGAAACCCACATGATGGATTTTCCTTATTTGCACAGGAGCTTACAATCGCACATCTACTAGTCAGATACTCACAAATATATAGTAATTAAATGAACCGACTATAGCATAACTTTATGCCATACAGTAAGTCATGATCTCATATTAAGGATGGTTCACTTTGTTCAACTGACGCATACATATATGTCACACTCTGTTTGTGTTATGTTGATCACACGCTGACTTAGATTCTGGTGAATTGGCTGGAGTCAAATCTTCAACCAGAATCACTACGTGGGGGTTATTATCACCATGTGGAGTAGACTGTGTTCTGTTTGGGGGTTTAGCTGTTTCCACAGTTTCGAACTCCATGAGCGAGGGAAGTTCATTCACAGCTTCTGCAATTTCCTCAGTGCAGGCAACAATATCACTTAGCAAGGAAGCCACTGTGGCTGCTGGAAGGACTGATAAAAGATCTGTTTCTTTCCATAAGCTTGATTTGAGCAGTGAATTGAGGCTCTTAGCAGCAGATTTTGAGTTGGAAATATGGGTATCCGCAGAGCATGGCTTCTTCATTGTACTCAGTGCCACTCCCAGCTCCTTCAGAGCTTTTGCTGATTCCAAACTCATGGCTGAACAAGCCTCCTGGATTATGTTCTTAATCTCTGGCGATGCCTGCAAAACATTGGGGCAACCAATGCAAGTGTTAACAGTACTGGACTATACCGAGAAACAAAGAATCTGAAGCTGTGTTTGTGTCTATATATACTTGGAGGTTAGAGTTCAGTTGAGCATTCAGAGATTCCATTCGATAGGCGCATTGTCGGGTAAGCGTTCCAACTTCAAGGTATTTGTCCCACGGATGACGAAATTGGAACCTCCCATGACCCGGTTCCCATCTTGCAAAATTAGCCTGATCAATGAACATCATATGTATATATCAGATCATGTGTGTTAATAGAATTTCTATTTCAAAGAAGCGAGAGAAAATATTTCTTTTAGTTTACCCACCAATGACTCTTCAGTACTCTTTGAATTGAGGACATTTTTGTACCCCTCCAGCAAGGCGGTCTTGTCATCCTTACAACCTCCTTCCTTAGATGTTCTAAAATACTCCTCTTCAAACGCTGCAAGATTTTTAAAAAAAAAAAATCTCCGATAAGTTTTCTTCATTGAACAGATGATATTTCCCTACAATTTTTACTGTTGAATAATCTAACCTTGTAAGAAGTTGGCGAGACTTTCCAAGTTAAGGGAAATTAAGCTGTGGAGTTCTTCACCGGCCCACACAGGACAAACAAAAATGGATATCATGACACATGCAGAGCCCCCAATGAAAATAGTGAAGAGCCTTCTGTGTGCCATCTCTATAATTTCATCCTCTCGAAAACCAGATACAGATATCAGTGAGAATGTCAAGATGAATATGAGCAACCCATAATCGTATCTTGCTTTGATTTCGGGGAAGAATCTCATAAATGTTGCTATTGCAGCTGCATAATAAAATATCATCCAAAATCCCGTCAACATTTTCAAGTTCAACAATCATACTTATTATCTGCCAAATGCATGTTAATTACTGTTTAATCACCTTGAAGAAACACAAAGAAGCTAAGCAGTATAGGTTCTATTGTCTGTCCAGATAGGTCAGCTAAGTAATGAGTTCCGACACCAAGAGCACCAGCAAGTAGTGTAGCTAATCCCCTGTTTAAACCTTTTCCTAGAGTGGCTCCTGAAAAGTGTCACAAAAAACAATATAAGTACACGAATCCCAAAATGTTTACAACATGCAAATGAGTTTTGGCTCAGAAATACTGAAGTCACTTACCCACAGAGTACTCAAAGACTACAACTACGGTCATAACAGCCCACATTGCAGAGAGACCAAAACTGTCATATAGTGGCTGATAATAGTAGAATAGAGACACCAGAGTGAGTGTAATTCCTACTTTGAGGGCATGAATGACTCTTCTTGGGTCGTCTTGCCCTATCTCTTTGGTTGTCCTGTAAGTATTGATAACCTTCTCCTTCAAAGCCTTAGGCATGGCCTTAAGCTTCATCCATCCACGAGACATTATCCCTATTGATGTGCGCTGGTTTGCAGAACTCATCTGCATAAAAACTGACGGTGGAGACTGGGAAGCAAAAATAATAATGCATGCACTGATAAAAACAATATGGTTGTTGATAATGCTTAGTAAGGCGTCGTAGGGACCTTCTGTTTATTTATAGATAGGTGCAAGGGGTAAAGCATCTCCTGAAGATTTGAGGAATAATTTTAAGTTCTTATAAAAATGTGTTGCGACTTAATTTGTGCTGTTATGTAGCACAATAAAGGAAAGTTAATAAACTAAAATTAGGTTTGGACTTGAGTATGCGACAAAACTAAGAATAATGACATAGACACTTGAAGGAATAATAAATAAATTGATTGCTAAGCCACGAAGACGTCAATAATGCTGCATCTCAGCAGGGTGTGGATATAGACACGCATTGCCATGAGCCCACAAGTCTTGAAGGCTAAATTAAAGGCTATACTAGAGCCACTTGGGGTGTAACAAGTCATGAACGAATAAATCTGAGGCTGGAGCCACATCAATTAAAGCAGGTGATAAGAAATATATGTTGTTTACGACCTGATTCTTTTATGTTAGGCACGCTTTTGGGCAGGACAATCCAATTTACTGAGATTTTTCGATGTCAACTCATTAATTAGCATATCATATGTTCTATGTAATGAAGAGTGAGAACCAGTAAGAAGGAATCGTCTAAAAATTAAGGTATCATAACATTGGATATTGATCATGCTTAAACACATCCAAGAA